CAATACTCTCAGCACATGGGAGTTCTTTCTAAGCTTTCTTTGATTATTTTTTTTCATTTCAAGGTAAAAAATTCATAGTTGAAATTGGTTTCACTGGCACAACTCTAGTTGTTCAATAGTTTGATGATGAAACAATCAAAATTATTATCGAAAGACGAGATATTTACAAACATACTGTCATACCAAACATACACAAAAATAACAAACACATGAAGAGGTGTAATGTTATGTTTTATTTTAAGGCTTAGAAATATATTTTTTCACTTTATTTAACTCCGTGATAGTCCAGGTTTTCTCCTTAGGGAAAACAAACAGTAATTACACATATTGTAAACACATTGTGAAGAGTCAACAGTCATGAAAGGAAACACAGAAATTACACCAATGTACTTTCGAATAAGACAATCGTACCGTTCTTGTGTTGAAATGCATTTTCTGTGCATATAATTATAGTTAAAACAAAAAGTAACTTTATGGTCTGGGCCCAAGGCAAATTGTGGTAATGGTTGGCATATGGTGATTTTAGCCTAATTTATTAGACCGCTATTCAATATCAGAAAGACAACGATAAATCAATGTGAACCACAAATATACATACATGTTGTTTTTATCACCAGAATATATTCACAGATCTCAAATTTGATGTACGGGGCAACGAAAGCCAAACCTCTGCTTTCCTTTAAAAACAGTTGACAATGTGTTCCTAAATCTGTAAATATGATTATGAAAAATCTTATATTTCTTTAATAAATTCGATATCACAATCACTCATTGGAGGAGATCCTCTTTAAATATTGGATTTGATTTCTACTGTATGTAATTAATAATCACTTTGTCTTATTTACAAAGTAGTATACTATGAATTCTTTATTTACACTGATAAAATGTTTTATTACAGGTGTTTTGTCGTCTACGCCCTAAAGATCATGACGATGGTGAAAATTGTGTTGAAATTCAAGACAATAATGCTGTACTGTTGCGGCCACCAGAGGGCTCACTAGCATTCAAAGGGGGAAATCTACGAGAGATTACATTCAAGTTCAAATATGTATTTTCAGAAGAGACTTCACAGAAAGCTCTCTTTGATCATACAGCATATCCACTTGTGGAGGATTTACTCAATGCTAAGAATGGTGAGTCTAACACTACATCAGCATTTGTTTTTGATGAATGCTGTTCTCTGAATGTACCTCTTATACATGTATGCCCTAGCCATTCGTGTTCAAACACTGTAAAATACTTTTATGTTAGCTGGAATTAATTTTCGCTGAAAAGACTTTGGGTGTTTTGTATGGAATTTAATTTCACTGATTTTTTTTTATGAGTTGAATGTAAAATATAGGAAAAGAGGTGTATTCGCTGGATTTTATTTTCACTCAATCATTCCTTCAGAGCGAAAATATCAAAAGTTAATTTCGAGCAAAAGTTAAGTATTTTACAGTATATATTTTTTAATCCTAACTTATAACTCACAAGAACAATAGAATTACTTGATTGTAAATTAAGTAGTACGTATAAGTAAGTGATGTACAGTGTAGATTCACTTGTATACATAATTTGTTTCCTGTCTTGCGTAAAAAATTACTGTAAAAAATGTCTGGATGGAAAAGTTGAAAATTATATGCAAATTTCCTAAAATTGACTAATGTATTAGTGCTTGCAATCGTGGTAATACAATGTATAATTGTTGTAGGTTTGCTATTTACATATGGTGTGACTGGATCTGGTAAAACTCACACCATCACTGGGACACCACAAAATGGTGGTCTTCTACCAAGGTGTCTGGATGTTTTGTTCAACAGTATTGCTGACTTGCAAGCAAAGAAATATGTGAGTATATATGCATTAAGGGTTCGTAGCTATTGATGATCAAGTGAATTTCTAATATTTTCTGGAAACTACCATTTAAGTTTATTGGCACAGTCTCAATTGAAGATTTTTCGGTAAGCAGTCAGAATTTTACGTTAAGCTGTGATTTTCAAATATATGTCTATATTGTGACATTTAGTTTTCAACAATAGGATTTTGAAATATTAGAAATTCTCTTCAACGTCATTAGCCACGAATTAAGTTATGTTTAAGTAGGTGGAAAAAAGTACTCTGGAAAACATTCCAAGAACATTGCCAGTGTACATTTTGAATTTGCTGTCAACCTTTTGAATGTGAAAAAAACCAACAAGACAGTTTGAGCCATCATCCACCTGCACGATGTTGTTCCATTCGGACATTCCTCTCTACATGTATGTCACGTGGTTGCTCGAGAAAAAAATTTCCGAAAAGCACTTGGGGCTTTGCATTTCTGATATTTTTATTGACTCCCGTGTACGAAGCACACAATGGGAGTCTTTGCAGTTACCCTGTCTGTCTGTATGTGTGTGTGTGTGTGTTCGTCTGTTCCACTGATATCTCAAGAAGCATACATTGGTTTTTGATGAAACTTGGTGCATAGATGCTCTAGGCCAATGCGCAATTTTGATTAGGTTTTGGTAGAAATCCATGCATATTAATTACCTAATTTGCATGATAATTATCTCATTTTTAGCTGTTCCATGACTGTTCCACTGATATCTAAAGAACCACTCATTGAATTTTGATGAAACTTGGTACATAGATGCTCTGAACTTGTGTGCAGATTTGATTAGTTTTTAGTGAAAATCCGTGCATATTAATTTGCATGATACTTAGCTAATTTTTAGCTGTTCCTCTGATATCTCAACTACTAATCATCACATTCCAATGAAACTTAGTACCTAGATGTCATAGGACACTGCACAGACCTAGTAGTTTTTAGGGTAATGTCGGTATATATTACCTAATTTGCATAATAAATTAATTTTCAGCTTTTGATATTTCAAGTAGTAAGCATTACATTTCAATGAAACATGGTACATAGATACTCAAGCACTATGCAGAGATCGATTGTTTTGGGATAAATATTTGTGCATATTAATAACCTAATTTGCATGATTAGTTAATTTTCGGATTTTCACATATATCTCAAGTACTAATCATGACATTTCAATGAAACTTGGTACATACACAGGGAGTTGGACAAACTGTATTTTAATAAATTATTAAATAATGAAATGTTATATAACTTTTCTTTTAGCCCCCCCCCCCCCTCCTGGTATCGATTTCAAGTAATCACTGATCTTTGTTTATACCACTCTTTCCTTTATCACAATCTTTGTTGCGCGCTAATGTTATATGCAAATTTTAACACGCGATGTAGACACACCCCATTTTAATTAAATCATCCCAAGGGTTGAAACGCGCCAGGACTGTGGCATATAATCGCGTATTCGAACTTTTCAAAGTTCGTTTTCTTTACATATGGCATCTGTAATGACATGGATGGCATTAGAAAGTGACACAATTGCATTGCACTTGAATATTTGTCAAATTAAAACTCATTGCGATCGTGCGACATGGCAGGAGCACAGCCGGAAACCGGATATTGTGATCTTTGACCTCTATCACAAAGAATGACTCTTATTTTGTTGTGTCGCATGATCAGAAGCAAACAATTTTCCCATGAATCATATCTGGTTTTTAAAAATTAAAGGTTATGCTCGATAATCTTATGTGCTGATGCGGCGCTTTTATTAAGACTACCGTAGAAAATTATATGTATTATCAAGTAGAAACCATTTTACAGAAGAGTCACTGATTCATTGAAGTTGTGCGGCGTCAGAGATTACATTCGCCGGATTTAAATTTTGCATAATAATTTGTTTGGTTCTGATCACATTTCAATGAAACTTGGTACATAGCCGTGCAACTGCGGTACTCCACTGACTTGATGACTTTCGTCGACGCTACAACTGCGTGTGCGATATTGCTTGCTGGTCGTGGATTGACCGAGTCTTGGTAACTAGTTAAAATGTTGCTCATTTGGCGTTGGTAATCTTTATTTGTAACTGAGTAAGGCCGCAACGTCACCAGCAGAAACCTCCTGGTATTTCGATGTTGATGATTCAACATATTAATCGCTGATTTTACTGCGGGTGGAATTTCCGAGAGCCCTTCAAGGTTTATAAAACTCAGTTTCCAGGTGGTCAACATACATTAAGCTCTCCCAATCGTCGTATTCCATGAGATGTACACCTAACATGCCAAAAACGTTGCTGAACAATTTGAACCGAACAAAAATAGCAGACAACAATGTGTTTACAAAATAAAAATAGTTCAGTAGCCAATGGAAATACCATGTTCATTTGCATATTGACCGTGAAAATACCATAAACATTATCAGATGGGTGATATGCAAATTAGTTTTTGTCAAAATAAGAGTACCATTACTGTTGTTCAAATATCATTTCACTCGGCAAGTATATTCATGTACCCCAAGAGAAAAATATCATACTGCTTAAATATTGTTTATTTCTGTTATGTTACGAAAAACTACTCCTGAAGGGACTACTTTGTTTGCTCTCAGACTCATTTGCATATGAGGTATGGAAATACCGATTTTGATTTCAGGGACGAATCAAAATAAACTGCAGTACATATGTAATAAAATGATTTACCATTCAGTTTTCAGTGTGACTAAAAACGAACACATCACAGGGTTCTCCACGGTTTGAAAATTAAACAGGGCGCGCCAATGTGAAGTGGGCGTGGCATATTTGTAACGTGCATCATTGGCAAGGATGTTGAAAAATGGAAACC